TTCGACTATGGGGCTCCTGTCAAGGGTAAAGCAAGGCTTTGAGATCTGCATAGTCCATTTGTCCCGAATCTATAACAAACACATCCCAACAACATCCACTGTTGCACGCATGATAAAACACACCAGTAAATATGACATTGTCGGACCTCGGCGACCGCACAGACAGAAGGGCAAAACAGACATAGGCACAGTTAAGTGTAAGAAAGGATGATAAATTTAGAGGCAAATGATTCAATGTCCACGTGAAGCATCTATATAGCCATGATAGTTACTGGCTTACATTTGGTTAAAACCCTTTGTCAAAGAAATGAGCCTCCTTTCTGGTTACCAGAGAGGGGGTGAGATGTATTGTATTTAAAATAGGAACGCTAGGGGCGCCTGGGTGGCTCAGTCGGTTAAGCGGCCGACTTCGGCTCAGGTCACGATCTCACACTCCGTGAGTTCGAGCCCCGCGTCGGGCTCTGTGCTGACCGCTCAGAGCCTGGAGCCTGTTTCAGATTCCGTGTCTCCCTCTCTCTCTGACCCTCCCCCGTTCATGCTCTGTCTCTCTCTGTCTCAAAAATAAATAAACATTAAAAAAAAAAATTTTTTTTAAATAGGAACGCTATAGGGAAATGTAACACATTTTGTTCAGGGTATAAATATAGTGTGAGAATCGCTCCTAAGAGTAGATTTAGATAAAGCAGACCAAGAGAGCAAAATAATTCGTGACATATGCACATAATTTAAAGCCAGGGTCAGCACGCATTCTCTGTAAAGGGCCAGACGGTAACTATTTCAGGCTTTCCAGGCCCTACACAGCCAAAGACGCGATGTCAACAAATGAGCGTGGCTCTCTTCCAATAAAACTTTCTTTATGAGTGCTGAAATTTGAATGTAATAAAATTTTCACAGGTCATAAAATGTTATTCTTCTTTTTAACTTTTTTTCCAACCACTTGAAAATGTACAAACCACTCTTGGCTCTTACTTAGGCTGTAGAAACATAGGGCCTCAGGCCAAATTTGGCCTGTAGCAATGGTTTGCAAAGCCCTGCTTTCAAAGCTGGTTTCTCAAAGTGTGGCAGACAGTTCAGCAACATCAGCAGCACCCAAGGGCTCATTAGAAATACAGAACCTCAAGCCCCACCCCAGATGCACGCAAGGAGAATCTGCATTTTAAGAACATCCCTTTGTGTCTGATTTGCACACCTGAGTTTGAGAAGCACTGGTTTAAGGTCTACGCGGACTCTGAAGCCAGGTTGGCAAATCCCAGCTCTAAAATACGAATTCCCAGACAGGTAACGCTGGGGAGGTCCTAAACTCCTCTGTGCTTCAGTTTCCCCATGCGCAAGGTGGAGATGATAGCATTGTCTGCCTCAGCATGATTGTGAGTACATACACACACACACACACAGCTGAAACAGAATTTGTCATTACTATTACAAAATCTCACATCATGTGACAGTTGATGCTTGAACCACATGGGTTTGAACTACACAGGTACACTTATACGCGGTTTTCCCCCCAATAAATACAGTGCTCTAAATGTATTTTCTCTTCAGTATGATTTTCTTATTTTTCTATTTTTTTTATTATTATCTTTTTAATTTTAAAGATGGAGGGGGAGCATGAGCATGGGAAAGGGCCAAAGGGGGGGGGGGGAGGAGAGAGAGAGAGAGAGAGAGAGAAAGAACCTCAAGCAGGTTCCATGCTCAGCACAGAGCCCGACATAGGACTCAATCCCACGACCCTAGGATCATGACCTGAGCCAAAATCAAGGGTCAGACACTCAACCAACTGAACCATCCAGGTGCCCCCAGTATGATTTTCTTAATAACATTTTCTTTTCTCTAGGTTCTTTATTGTAAAAATACAGTATATGATACATATAAAAAAGTAGGTGTTTCATTGGCCGTTTATGTTATTGGTAAGGCTTCTGTCAACAACAGGCTATTAGTAGTTAAGTTTGAGGTTACTCAAAAGTTCTATGTGGATTTTTGAGCGTGTGGGGGGCCGGTACCCCACACCCCCACATTATTCAAGGGTCGACTACATTTTCACAGGCCACCATCTGAGACAGTCATGGTTTACCCCATTTCACAGAGGAAACGATGGCCCAGAGAATTGGAAACACTTGTCTAGGGTCACCGAACAGAGGTCTTTCTGGCTCCAGATTTGGTCCTCAGGCTAACGAAGGGTTCAAGGGTATAAAAAAGGGCCACACTCCCCAGGCACCCGGGTCTTCATGTCCAGGGCTCCATTCCCACTCCCAGAAGCCACTTGCAGCCTATGCTCCCCAGACCCCTGCACCCCAGGTGTCCAGCTCCCCAGCTCAGCCACATAGGGCTCTCCCTGACCGGGACCCCAAGTCACCCTTCCATTCGTCGACGTTTATCTTCCGATAAGTTGCCTAGTGTTTTTTACAACTTCTCTTTCTAGTTCCAGACTGTAAATTTTCTCTCTGCGGAATCTTGTAGCTGACTGACTGTTTTTCATTATATTTGCAAG